TCCAAGGAGGATTGAAAGATTGCGGCCAGAGCCTCCGCTATTTCTACCCTTACTTCCCTCAGTAACCTAGGATGCATTCCATCCAGACCAGGTGACTTATCTACCTTGAGCACCTTCAACCTTTTTAGTACTTCCTCTCTGCTTATTTTTATCCCATCCAATTTCTCTACCCGCTCCTCCGATAATGTGGCATTGGCTGATCCTCTTCTTTTGTGAAGACAGATACACAGTATTCATTCAGTATGTCAGACTTGCCCTCTGCTTCCACAAGAAGTTTTCCTCTTTGGTCCCTAATTGGTCCCACCCTACCCTTGACTAACCTTTTATTCTTTATATGCTTATAAAATACTTTAGGGTTCCCTTTTATGTTATCTGCTGTAGGATTCTGTAATTAATGTGTTAAATAATATCTTAAATTATATTTGCGATGTTTATATATATATTTGAAACATATGATCAATATCATACGANGGGGGCTAGTTGTATCTCTCCCAGCCCTCCATGTAACTTGTTTCTCCTCTCTGATCCTACATCTTGGTTCCCTTCCTCCCTCAAAATTAGTTAAAACCCTTCCCCACTGACCAGTTAACCTCCCTGTGAGGACATTGGTCTCAGCCCTGTTCAGGTGTAACCCATCCACCCGTTACAGGTCCCACCTGCCCCAGAACTGGTCCCAATGATCCAGGAACCTGAACCCCTCCTTTCTGCACCATTTCTCCAGCCATGCATTCATGTGTTTGATCCTACTGTTTTTATACTCACTTCCAGGAGGCACTGGGAGTAATCCAGAGCTCACCACCTTTGAGGTCCTACTCTTTAGTTTTCTCCCTAGCTTCTGATACTCTCCCTGTAGGATTTAAGCCCTTGTTTTCCCTAAATTATGGATCCCAATAGGGACCATGACTTCTGGGTCCTCCGCTTGCCCCTCTGGAATGCTTTGCACTCGTTCCGTGATGTTTTCAACCCTGGCACCCTGGAGGCAACACACCATGTGAGAGTTATGTCTTTGGTTGGAGAAACACCTGTCTATCCCTCGGAGTGTTGTGTCCCCAATGACACCTGATGTCCCCTATGACAAGTGAATTCTATCAAAAGGAGCAGAGGGGAGGTTAAACTCAGCGAGGGAGGTTTCACTCAGCGAGTTGTTCAAATTTGGAATGATCTTCCTGAAAGGGTAGTGACGTCCAATTCGATAACAGGTTTCAAGAGAGAACTGGATAGGTATCTGGGGAAGATGGGTTTGCAGGGTTATGGGGAGAAAGCTGGTGATTGGGGTTAGTGAAAGTGACTTGCTCTGTCAAAGAGCCGGCACAGACTCAATGGGCCGAATGGCCTCCTTCTGTGCCGTAACATTCTATGAATCTATGAATTGAGACCACATTTAAAGCTTTGTCAAGAAAAAGGAGTATTAGAAGAATATGAAAGTGATCTTAACTTAAATTGCATAGTAACAGTTACATATAATATATAGCATTAGTTTATTATGTATAAATAGCTGACTAATTGGCGCTCTAAATACCTCTTGAATAATATGATGCAATCTTTACAGAGATCATAACCAGATGCAAGTAAGCCATTTGGCCTAATTAGTCCCGGGAGCCTAGTGTGGGAGACATTAACAATAATAATAATAATAATCCTTGCATTTGGTATCATGCCTTTCAAGTTGGGAAAATGTCCCAAAACACTTCACAGGATTTTTACTGTAAAATGGTGTGACTATGTATTTGTATGCGCACAGCAATGTTCCATAAACAGCTATGAAGCAACTAATCAATTTTTATTTGGGGAATTTTTTGTCCAGGACACCATTCCCTACTTATATATTTGAATATAAATAACAAGTTGAACAAATTTCTGGGTGGGTAAGTGTTTTAAGCAATAAAACATTTATTGTTATTTTTGTTTTTAATGTGAGTAAATTGTTACCAGATAGAAACAAGACATTCAGCCCAACAAGTGAATCGCCCTTCTCACGAACACACAGCAAATTCAGTATATTTTGCTAGATTTCCTCCTCATTGTATCCTATAAATTGCACTGCTAATCTTTGAATAGAATCAATAATGTAATTTTTTATATTTTTGTACTAGTATAAAGAACACAAATTATCTTAATTGGGATGATTATTGAATTAGGATGGTAGGTTTTTAATAAATAAATTTCAGCAATCATATATCTCGAAAAATAGCCTGGGTTTGCATGGAAGCATGAATTTCTGAATATCTAAAACATATTGTATTATGTGCTCATTTATATGCTTTTTATATGCAGGAAATAAATCCAAAATCAGTGTCTATACTTGTTCTACTGACTATGCAAATTTAAACAGAATTAATGTGGGGGTCAATAGTAAAGTCTCAGTTATACGATACTAGCATGTCCTACCTAATCAGATGCAATCTCAAGTTCCTTAGAATACCATTATGCATTTTCTAGTGCATAATTCAAAATAACAGATTTATCTAGGATTTTTATTTTTTAGTAGTTATGAATGCACTGATTTTGGTGTGATGCGATTGTGTAATGTGATTAGTGTAATAATAATAATTAATAATAAGAGGACTAATAATAATAACACAAACAATAATAATAATCCTTGTAGTTAAATATAACCTGAATGAAGAAGCATTAAATTAAATGTAGCTTTTCTCCAGTGGCAAAAAGGGTTTATCACCTTCGGTTTATCACTGAGTCTTGCAGACCAGATTACAGGTTAAAATCAGTCTGTGTTAGCTGATCTAAATCAGGACAGCAGTTACTAATAATGAGATACAACACTACAGAATGAAAATAGGCCATTCAGCCCAACTAGTCCAGACTAGTTTTTATTTTCCACGTAAACTTCCACCCCATTCTCATGGAGGTAACTAAAACTGATGTAATAATTAGCATTAGTAATTTTTCTTTGGTTGGCAGGATGTCTGACCCAGTTGTGGTAATTATCACATCATACATTACATTTTTTCACTACTAGAAATTTGTTATCATGTAAATTTGTTTCTTTTTCTATCAAGATGTTAAGCTTTTATACTAGTAAGTAATGGAAGTTGTTTTTCTTAACTTGCTGTTGAAGCTGACCTGCGGGCTGTACTTTATGATTTATGATCAGTTAGTTAGGAATCCTGATTTATATTTTCTAATGGATTTCCCTATCATACTAACAACACAGACAATGTGTGCCATGCTGCTGTTCCTAAACCTGATAAACTAAATTGTTTGGAAACAGGTTGCCCAAAGTACAGGAAAAAGAGGCAGCATGGACCAATATATCATGTTCAATGAAAAGCCACAAAGCAGTCTACAGGGGCAGCTCAGCAGAATTACATTTCCCTGCATTTCCTGTGCTCTCTGTTAAAGTTGTCGTTCACAATTAACTGCACTAATAGAGGATGCCCACTGCAGTGCATGCCAGATGATTTTACTGTCAGGCTAAGTGCAACAGCTAATTATAATGTATTTAATTAATGAAAAATAATTGTGAATTAAAGAATCAACTACAGTTCTAATACCACCCCATGAGGGAGTTAATATAAACCACAGCAATATGCTCTCCTGTCAAGATCCAAAAGACCACATTAGTCATTAGAGCAACTGTGTAAGGTTCCAGGTTACGTGAAATCAGATTCAAAATAGCTTTATTATTTTAAATTATTTTAAATCCAATTATTTTACAAAAGAGCTTATAATGATTTGAAAAAAAACGCAAAATACTGCAGATGCTGGAAATCTGAAAGAAAAACAGAAGTCGCTGGGAACACTCAGCAGATCAGGCAGCATCTATGGAGAAAAGAAAGTGAGTCAATGTTTCGGGTCCACGACCCTTCGTCAGAACTGGGGCATGTTGGGAGAGAGAGGCTTTTAAGGACTAACAGAGGGGGGAGGCAGAGCAAGGAAGACAAAGGAGGAAATGGGGTAAAGGGCAGGGGATGAGGGGTTAATGAGGTGTGGGGATTGCAACAAAGCAGGGAAATAGAGGTGTTAATAATGCAAAACAAAAGGGGGGGAAATTGTAACAAAATAGACAGATCAGAGAGAGAAAAGGTGTGTCTGGGACCCAGATGATATGGTAATGGTCACAAAGGACGGGAGAGTGAAGGTGAGCTGTTATGGTCTGAAATTGTTGAAATCAATATTGAGGCCAGAGGGATGTAAGGTCCCTAGCAGATACATGAGGTGCTGTTCCTTGAGCTTTCACTGTGGCTCATTGGAACAGCGTAGGAGACCATGGATGGAGAGGTCGGAGTTGAAGTGGCAAGAAACTAGAAGCTCAGGGTTGTGCTTGCAGACAGAACGGAGGTGTTCAGCAAATCAGTCACCTAATCTGCATTTCGTCTCACCAATGTAGAGGAGACCACATCGTGAGCAGCAAATGCTGTAAATTACATTGGTGGTTGTACATGTAAATTGTTGTCTCACTTGAAATCTGTGTTTGGGGACCTGAAATGGGCAGAGGTGAAAGGGCAGGTATTGCATCTCCTGCGCTGGCATGGGAAGGTGCTGGGGGGAGGAGAGTAACTGTTGGTGGTGATGGAGAAATGAACCAGGCAGTCACGGAAGGAACGGTCCCTTCGGAATGCTGAGAGGGGATGGAAAGATATGTTTAGTGGTTGGATCACCCTGGAGTTGCTGGAAATGGCGGAGAATTATTTGTTGGATGTTGAGGCTGGTGGGGTGGAAAGTGAGGACTAGGGGGACCCTATCACGGTTCTGGAACGAAGAGGAGGGAGTATGAGGGCAGAGTTGCGGGAAGTAAGGTGGACACGGTCAAGAGCTCTGCCTACCACAGTGAATGGGAATCCTCATTGAGGNAAAAAGAAGACATTTCAGCTGCTCTGGTGTGAAAGGTGGCATCGTCAGAGCAGATGCAGTGGAGGCGGGGGAACTAGAAAAAGGGAATGGAGTCTTTACAGGAGGTGGGGTGGGAGGAGGTGTAGTCCAGGTAACTATGGGAGTTGGTGGGCTCATAAAAGATATCTGTTGATAATCTATACCCCGAGATGGAAATGGTGAAGTCAAGGAAGGGAAGGGAAGAGTTGGAGATGGACCATGTGAATGTTACAGAGACGTGGAAGGTGAAAGCAAAATTGGTGAATTTTTCCAGCTCACTGTGAGAGCAGGAAGCAGCCCCAACACAGTCGTCAATGTACCTGAGGAACAGGTCAGGGAGCAGACCTTGGTAGTCCCGGAACAAAGAGTGTTACAGATGACTAACAAACAGACAGGCGTAGCTGGGGCCCATGCGGGTTCCCATAGAGACACCTTTTACTTGGAGGAAGTGGTTGGAGTTGAAGGTGAAGTTGTTCAATGCCAGAACAAGTTTAGCCAAGCAGAGGAGGGTGATGGTGGATGAAGACTGTTTAGACCGTTGTTCGAGATGGAAGCAGAGGGGCTACAGGCCATCCTTGTGGGGGATGGAGGTGTAGAGTAACTGAACTACAAACTTCTCGCTTTTTAGTGAAAAAACAATGAGGCGAAAATTGTGATTTTTGTAACTGATCCAATTAATGCATTTAAATCCATTAAGAACTGTTGTGATGTCCCTAACACAGCTATGTTGCCAACAGCAGCTAAACCATGAAAGTCACAAGGTATTTTCAGTTTCTGCTCAGCTCTTCATCATTCAGCTCTTTGCTAAAGCATAATGGATAAATGTGGATGTAAGCATGCACAAAGCAAGAATAGAGATCAGGAAACATTTATTTTTATCCATAATATAGCAGCTGAAATGTGGAAAAGACTTCTGTTGAAGATAATGCTATTTCAGTTGATCTCATTAATAATAATAATAATAATCCTTACATTTGAGCATCTTATCATGTCATTGAGACGTCTCAAAATGCTTCACAGAATATACCGTAAAGTGAATTGACTGTATATTTTGTGGGCGAAACTCGGAAACGAATTGCGCACAGCAGTGTCGCACAACAGTCATGGATTGTGTGATCAAATTATTATTATTTAGTTTTTTTTGGAGGGATTATTACCCCCGGAAAAGCGATCCGTTATTTGACTAACAACTGGGTTCCTACTTATTTCTAGGTTAAACAGAGGCATGTGAAGTAAGGAAACTTGCCTTAGGTTTCGCCTCACTCAGGAATCCAACCCGGGTCCTCTCACGTGTGAGGTGGGTGCTCTAACCACTGCACTATGGAGCTCCACTGTAACTGTATTCAGATGTGTTAAACATCTGTTTTTTAAAAAAATCAAATATTATTCAGATTAGTGCCGTTAGAGATGGTCAAATACTTTCAGTTGCACAGTGGCAGCAGTTGTGTTCTGTCCATAGGAATATTATCTCCAGAATGCAACTAGTTAGTTTGAATAACAGAGAATAACTCTGCGACCTCCTAACCCCCTACCAACCCGCCCGGTCCCTCCGCTCAGCCGGCTCTGGCCTGCTCCACGTCCCCCGACCAACCCACCCCACCATTGGCGGGAGAGCCTTCAGCCACTCTGCCCCCAACCTCTGGAATTCCATCCCCCAGTCACTCCACCTCACCCCCTCCTTAGCCTCCTTCAAATCCCGCCTCAAGACCTTCCTCTTCGACCATGCCATCGGCCACCCCACTTCCCCTCCCCTCCCTTACTCCCCCAACCCCAGCTCGGGTCTGAAATGCTGAACTCTGTCCAGCGCCTTGGGACATCCTCCTGACGTGAAAGGCGCTATACAAATGTAATCTTGTTGTTGTTGTTGTTGAATAATGTAGCTTGACACTGTGGAGTTTTTCGACTGTCTATGAGGTAGGGAGGGGTGTCAGGTTTCCAATCTTGAAAGTGCGATAGAACTTGTGGTTATTCACTTCCTTCGGGACATAGGATAAATGAGTCTGAGTCCCTGATAGTAAACCTCTTTGCAGTTATACTGTTAGTATTTCTCAATAATTGAGTTAATCTCCTAAAGAAAGTGAAAGGAAGAGTGCTGTGAACAGATAGATTGAATTTTCCCTATTTTGCACTTTTTTGTGCTCCTTTTTTTCCATTCAGAAAGTATTTTTTTAAATGTTGTGCATAAATAATTAACTAACCCTAGAGCAGTTATTCGAACGAAAACACTCAGGATAATCGTACCATAAGTCATAGAGCTCTATTATGTTTTTTTAAAGTAATCTTGGAAATATTTCTAAAGAGAACCGTCTCATAATTGTGTACTGGAACATGGAAATTATTTCTTCCATTACCACCAGTCACTCTACTGACAGACATTTGGATGAGTCTTTTGAATTGCAGTCTTTGAAACCATACCATAATATAAATTGTTCAAGCAGGTTTTCTAGCTAAACATTTTAGTTTTTGCTGATGCCCGCAAGGAGTGTTCCTGTGTAGTTTTCCCACAGTTTTGTCACAGGAATTCCTCACACTGCTTAATCATTTTATGTATGTTGCTGAACTAATTTTATGCTGTATCTTTTCCTTTCTTCTCCGCTCCCCTCACCTTTGCCTCTACTGAAGTTTTTAATTACTTTTTTCACTTCTACCATAACGTTCTTCCTCTGCCAGTTTATTCATATATGAACCAAATCATTGAATATTGGCAACCTTTTTAACTGTGAGGGGCATGTTAGCCTAGCCTAATTGTCCTCACGCAAACAGTTTTAATGTGAAAGCACAAATTCCCTTTTAGGATATGCAACAGGATTAACAGCTTGAACATCCTATTTTATTTTGTAAAGAATCCCTCAAGACGATGGATAAAAATGTGTGCAACTGTATGGAAACCTTTAATAGCCTAAATAATAATAGCCTTCCGTGATTACATTTGGTTGACATTTAAATATCAGGAATTAAAAGAGTGTAACGAATTGAAGCCAAATTAAAATTTCAGAACTTTTTTCCTAAAATCATCTTACTCGTTGGGTTTCACTGCAGTCTGTCATAAGCTATTATATTCTTAGGACTAAATCAGTACAACGTGAACCATTTCAATTGATAAGTGAACAATCTGTAGCTAACAACAATTCATTTTCCATAAGAAAAGTGTTATATAAACATGGATTTTTTTACACAGGGAAAACATTGCACTGTTTTCAAAGCTATTACTAATGACTATTGGCTTGCTACCTTTTTAATAAATAAGTGAATGGACGAAACGCTTAACAGTGGGCAACTCACAATGAATTCAGGATGACTGCACAACTGACTTTCCTTCAGTTTGCAATTGGCTGCTATTATAATTAGTTTGAATGTTTATGAATATATAATAATGTGTGGGCTGATGTATGCTTTGATGTAGAATACAAATGATGACAGCTGCCTACATCACATTTAATGAGATTCAAATGCTGTAAGTTTCCAGCTCTACTGATATCACAAGCACCTAAGCATTATTGGGATAAAATTCCACTTCGGTCTAGATTTACTCTACTAATCGAGTGATTGAAGAACGTTGATACTTTGTAAACAGTTGAATTCAGTCTGAATTTTGAAGTCGACTTTCTGTATTTCTTAAAAGGATTTATAGAAGACAATTTAAAATTAAGGCTGTATTTGAGAATTTGACAAATTCTGTACTGGACTGAGTGTTAAAGTCACGACATGGGGCTTTATCCCACACCTTTCTGACTCAGAGGTGAGAATGCTACCAACTGAGCCAGACTGACACCCAATTATAGTAGCTTCTATTTTTCATTAGTACATTGCAGAAAAAACTGCAATGAATATACACCATGAGGAAGAAGCGTATTAAAGTTAATTAATGATCATTGATAAAAACATCACATCTGCTTTCTAAACAAAGAATGCACATTAAATAGAATCAAGCTTTATTCTAATAACTCAGGCATACTTTTTGTCAAGAAATGCATCAAAAATGCATGAAAATGAATCAAATTTATTATACCCTTGGCACATCGTTAATGTTCAAGCTAGGATTTTAAATAACTGAACATCTGTTACATTGTCAGTAACAATTCTAATTCTAATTTTAAAAAAACACAAAGATTTATTGAGCTGACAAATTTATATTGGTGCTTATTGCATTATCCTCTGAATAAAGTAGGCTAAACTTTTAATCTAAAGAACATGTTTTGTATCAGCCAATCTTGCCATAAAATCACGAGAGGCACAGATTGAGAAGATACTTTGATCCATTTGATCTCATTCTTCAAGAATATCAACTCTATCCATTAACTACTACAGCATTAGGCTGTTTCTGAGATAAATCTGACTGACACACTAGCCTCTACTACACTTCAGGGTAATCCATTCCAGCAGTTGATGACTTGTGTTAAGAAATATGGCTTGGTCTCTAAAATACAGTCTCTAAAACTTCCCAAAACAGCTCTGGATTTGTGTCACTTTGTTCTGCTACCTTAGCCCAAGATTTAGTGTTGATCTGGTTTACTTTCTCACTCCAATGTAACATTGTATATACCTCTAGTAACACAATAACAATAATCCTAGTATTTGATATAGCGCCTTACCACATCTTTGAGATGTCTCAAAGTGCTTCACAGAATATACTGTAAAGTGTATTGAATTGACTGTATTTTGTGGGCGAAAATCAAGGTTGTTTTGAGATACTTTTCAGATATCTGCATTTATTTTGTTCAACAATGTGAAGACAGAACAGTCCAGATTTTGTGTGACAGAATATATAATCGACCAGTGCATTATGGAAGATAATGGGACAAATGAGAAATAGATATTAAATTCCATAAGATTCCATTTAATATGGATGTTGCCAATATAGAACTATCATTTTGATTGAGAGGTTAAGCTTGCCTGCTATTTCCAATGTCTACTACATACAATTAGGTTCAATTAAAAAAAGGTTTTGAGTTTCAGATAAATCCTGTACATTGGATTGATCTATAATCAAAGTTTAATGTTAAAATGCATTTATTATTGTAATTGAATAGCATAGCTGCAAATTTCCAATGTAAGTAATACACTTCTAACATGGCAAAATACAGGTTTTACACTTGCTTGTAGAACCATCAAGAGCCGAATGCTATGCTGTGAGTCTGTCATGTTTAGAATGTTGCATTGTTATAGTCTGTCGAATGGATCTTTATCCAATAAACATGTAAAATTTGTCAGGTTTGATGATTACGTGGTCTAATAAGGTTTTGCCCATGAAACATACAGTTAATTCACTTTACAATATATTCTGTGAAGTGCTTTGAGACGCCTAGAAAATGTAATAAGGAGCTATATCAAATGCAAGGATTATACTCTTTTGGTTGTATTGATGTGACCTTTGTTTGATACCCTTTGAGAAAATAAGGACCAATTAACTAGGACCAATGAAAGGGGATCAGGAGGTAGAAAAGCAGGAAGCAGAGAGAACTGACTAGAGAGTTTTTGGTTGGATTTGAAACTTGTGAGCAGAGAATAAAAAGAGTTTTCTAC